TGCAAATCATATTTAATTAGCTGTTACTATAGTGGGTTATTGTTGTGGCACTTTATTTTGTGTATTAGTGGTTTTTGGGCATAGACACAAAATTAAAACTCACAAAATTATTAAAAGTGTATGTTAATTGTCATTCTGTCAACGATATAAAGTGGGTATTGATTGAAATGTATATTTAGTAGTTTTGAGCACTTTTGTAGCCATGAGTCATTGAGCATGCTCAGAATGGCAGCAACATAGCAAATTTTATTTTGGCGATTTTATCAATTATCCACCAATACTATACAATAAAACCACAAAAGGGCCACTTAAAGCAAACTACTGACAAATCAATAAAAATAACTCACCCTATGGTATAAAAAAAATTATAAAATCATTTTACTAAGGAGAAAAAAGTGATTCTATTATGTTTTAATTACTACATTTAGAACCCATTGTTGAATCAAGTATTGCACAGAAAGTTGAATACTATCGAGAAATGTGGATGAAGGAATGCAAACACTATGACCACATAAAGGAAAGTTTTGAGAATATCCAGAGTGATGTAGCAAAGGTTAAGGAAAAGGAAATTCCTGAAATTAAGAAAGGTGTGTAAATTGTGTTAATTATTTTGTGACATGTAATTACTTTAGGTCTGTCTGATGCACAAGAAAGTTATGATAAGTTAAAAATTGATCAGGAAAAAATGGAAGAGCAGCTTGCCTCTACAGTTTCCTCTCTTGAAGAAACATATCGAGAAGTTAAAGAACAGAGCGATGAACAAATAAGTTCAATGAAGTCACATCAAAAAGCAATGGAAGATAAGCAAGAGAGCCATGAGAGACAGCTTACTAGTCTAGATGAGAAGTTGACACAGACCAGTTCAGTAATGAGTGTATTTCAACGGAAACAGACCAATACTTCAGCACGTGTCAGCCACACGATACAACTCATTAAGGAAGTGTCTGATGATAAAGACAAAGAAATTGAACGATTGGACAGTAAGACCGATACTTTAGCAGATACTGAGAAACAGATCTCAGAATGTATATATGAAATGGGAGGTGCTCTACGTCAACTCTCAGAAAAAGATGATGAATTGTCTGAGAATATTGAGGAACTAACAATAAATTTTGAAAATGTAAAAGTGGACGTGACAGATTTAAAAAAGGCTTTGCAGCAAAAAGGTACACACAATAAGGAGATATTAGTATGAGAGTAATACATGTAGGTAGCCTATTATAGTAATAAAATTTTAATGCTGATGCATAAATGCATGAAACTTAAGTTGGATTTACAATAATTTTGATGCTAGGCCAGCGTACTTTTATCCTTAATCACAAGTATGAATGATTTGACCTTTTGATGCAAGCATCATGCTAGAATTGAACCAATTTCAACTCCAGCATCAATATAATATCAGGACCAGCATAATCTACATGTACCTTTATTTTTCAAGTGAAATGATTAAAATAAATTTGTAAATATTTATGCCACAACTAGTAATTACCCTTTATGTGTAATTGAAGTTTTTGGAATAAAAATAAGTTCCTTAGCTCGATATAGTTGATATTTTATAGTGTAGTGACTCAATCATTACCTTTTGTATTAGCTTATGATAGATATCTATACTAAAGTACCAACATTAATAAATCTGTTAATTTCACTTCATTTTTAGGTATCTCCTCCAAACTCAGTGTCTCTTACTTTGAAAGTGATATTAGCTATTTGAATGGTCAGTATCACGAAGGCACTAGACAGTGGTTGTTTGATCACGTTTTATCATTATTAAAACAAAGCGTTCTAAATACCACTGGTCCCAAAATTCTTTTAGTTACTGGAAATCCTGGAATGGGCAAATCTGTTATTGCTGCAAAATTAATTTCAATTTTTAAACATGATTCAAAAATTGCTGGTTGGTTCTTTTTTCAGCATCACATGGGTCGGAGGAGTAATTGCAAGATGCTGGTTCAGTCACTCTGTTATCAAATGATGTCTACTGTTTCTGGTTTTTCAGCTCAAGTCGAAGAGCATTGTTCTGATATTGATCCTTCTTCACTCTCTCCATTAGAACTATTTGCATGTCTTATTCGTGAACCTCTTCATCATCTCCCACCTGATCATGCAGAAATGATAATTATGATTGATGCACTTGATGAATGTGATTTTGAATCACAACAAGATCTGACTAAGCTGTTTATTCGAGAGTTTGTTAAGCTTCCAAAGTGGTTAAGTATTATTGCTACAACACGCCCAGATCAAAAACTTCTCAGAGCATTGAAGCGAGTGAAGCATGTTATTGAGCTCTTACAAGATGATCCACGTAATTTAAATGATATTCGTATTTTTTTGGTAGATTTTTTTAAAGAAAAGATTGCTAATTCCCAGTTGGAGTCAGCTGTAGAGCTTTTGCTTAAAAAGTCTGAAGGAATGTTCTTATATTTTTATTATGCAATCGATTCATTGGCTGGAAGAGCTGAAATCAGTCTAGATGAGTTAGAAAAACTTCTCCCTGATGGTATTGATGATTATTATGAGCTTAACTTTCACCGTTTGTTTGAAGCAATGGGCAAAGAGAAATATCACAAGTTACTCCAAGCGATACTTGCTTCAAGATCTCCTGGCTTACCACATGCCTTTGTTGGCCGTCTGCTTGATTTAGATGTACAAGAAACAACCAAAGTGGTGACTCTTATCTCAACATTGTTTCCAGTTCATAATGATTGTATTGCCGTATTTCACAAATCAGTACTCGACTGGTTGCTCAATGATGATCTGGCTGGCCAATATGCAATTGATTTAATGGCAGGTCAGAAAAGTTTAGCTAAAATCTGTCATTCATTGCTTCAGCAAATAAATACAGCTGCTTCCTTATCAGATACTGTTCATCAGTATGTCATTCTTAATGTAATGCATCATTTATGTCAGGTTTCAGCCATGCACCAATTTTCTAGCTATCTTATGAGCACTATAGAAAGTCTGGTTTTCTTATACCTTCGTCTTCTTTTTTCACATGGCAATACTGAGGGCCTTTTGGAGGATTTAGCTGAAGTGCGAAAGGCTTTTAGCAAGAATATAAAGCTTAGACAGAAAGCACAGGATATTTCTTCATTCATACAAAGATGTGCACATGTTTTGATCGGAAAGCCTTATTTAATTTTGCAGTGCACACTTAATGAGCCCGATGTTTTTTCTCGTCGACTTAGAATTGAAGAGTATCTTTCTAATCCTTCTGACACCTTCAAGGAACTGAAGGTCATTCTTCAAGTTATCAACAAGAATCAAGAATTTAGTTCTTCACTCATATCATTCACATCTGATGATAACATTTCAAGCTGTTTGTTCTCACCTAACCAGGATAATATTATCTGCAGTGATTATAGTAGCATGATAAGTATTTGGGAGGTTAATACGGGTGAACTAGTGTGTAAGGTTGATCTTAGCAGTGAATTTAACATGCTCCTTCCCATCAATGAATGCAGTGTGTCACCTAATGGAGAATTAGTTACATATGGTAACTTGTCAACAGCTATCAACATGAAAGGAGAAATGGTTCCACTTATAGCAACAAAGAAAGATCATAATGTTAACACTTGCATTTTCAGTCCAGATGGCCAACAGGTATTAGCTTATACATTTCACCCTGATGGATTCTTTGAACTGATGAAGGAAGTTGGTTACTCTTTAGACTACACATTTAATCTTCAGTTGTGGGACATCAACAAATCATCTCATCACATCATTCATTCTTTGAGGAAAAAAGAGATGCGTCCTCTTTGTGTTTGCTTCTCTTCTGATGGAACACATATATATTGTGGATACAGAAATGGTCGTGTTGTTCAATTTGATGTCTCCTCACTAGAAGCTACTGCTATAATTTTTACCAATGGCCTCACTATTAAAAAAGGTTTGAACATGCATACTAATACTTTATATTTATGCATCCACAGTAGCATGCCTTTGAATAAACTAATAAGCAAATTTACTTATCAATTATTTAGTTATGTTTATATTGTAAAGGTATTGTTGTTTTTAGTGTATAATAATACTGTATTTTATTTTTAGAATTAGAAAAACTTGAGATTGATCAGTTTGAGGGTGTTGATGATCCAGTAATGACAGTCAACTGCTCCAATGATGGACACTTTCTTATTGCGTGTACCAAAAACAATGGATTATTGGTCTGGGATGCAGCTGCCTTGGAATTCTTGTGTGCTCATAAAACAGAAAGTAATAAATCCTATTTTATATCAGGTACATTCTCAAGTGATTGTAAGTACTTGGCAGCTGGTACAAGCAAAGGTACACTCAAAATATGGTCGATTAGGGAATTTGAATTTTCTTTGGAAATATCAGTTAATCCTGATGGTTCATTTAACCCATTAGTTAAATGCATATTTGATCAACATACAAATGTTTTATGTGTTATTGGTAACACAGCTAGGCTATATTCTTATGATGCACTTGTGCAAATGATGGCTGCTAAATCTACCTATGATGCAGTACATCTTAATCAGGCCAATGTATCTATTTTTGTACCAGATGGAAAACATGCAATCACTTGTGGTGGTCACAATCTCTGCCTATGGAACGTTGCATTGTGTCAGTTAGTATCATCATCAAATGAATTGGATGGATATCTTGTTAGAATGTCATCTGATGGTAAAGTTCTTCTGTCATATGGAGACAGGTGTTTTATTGAAGTATGGGACATTGCCAATCTTAAAAAAACTAATGTTTTATCACCTAATTATGAAGAGAGTATTATAAATCTACCATATGATCCAGATGGGTCTTCTGAAACTGACATATGCCACTGTGCAGTTTCTGTCAATGCTGAGCATTGTATTGTTGTTGGTGGGACAGGTGAAGGAAGGCTTTTTGTTTGGCATGGAAGAAATTATGAGTTGCAGCAAGAGTTACATGCTCATGAAAGTTTGATTACATTTATAGATTTTTCCCCAAATGGTGATTCGTTTGTATCTGCTGACAGCGATGGCATGATAATGATGTGGCAATTGGAATCGAATGATGCTCAGTTGACATTTAATAATTTCCCTCTCTATGCTCATCAGGATAGTATAGAACAGGTTTGTTACTCTCCACAAGGTAAAAGGATAGCTTCATGCAGCATGGATAAAAATGTACATCTTCACAATGGGTCAAACGGAGATTTAATTGCAAAATTAGAGGGTCACAAAACTGGCATCATGAGGGTCATTTTTTCATCTGATGGTTGCTATGTTACCTCTGGTGATGAACATGGATCAATATTTGTATGGGATGGATTTACTGGAAAGCAAAAACAATGCCTTCAAAGCAAATCAAAAAAAATTGTTTTGGACCTTTTCTTTGTTGCAGCAGACAAGTACATATGCATTCGAGATACACATTCACAGTGTATTACAGTCTATGATGTTACTACTGGCTCAGAAGTTTCTTGTTTATTTTTTGATGCTGATATATTTGCACTTTCAGCTGCTACTTTCTGGAAAGATTCTTCATACCTTTTGTGCACATTGAAAAATGAAAGGGTCAAGTTTATCAAACTTTTAGAAGTTTAACTTTAGATAATGTAAACTTAAAAGCTTGAATTACAGTATTTAATTATAATTAATTTATTTACTATTTGTTGAAGCATTTAAACATTTTTGAGAATTACATAATTATTGTGCTACCAGCAAAATTTTATTATTCTTTAGTTCAGTAATGTAGGACTCCTTTCATGAGTCAACTTATCAGTTAGTGTACCATTAATGATTGAATGAGTCCCACTAGTGTCTTCTCTTTCCTCTCACATGAGTTTCTGTGGCAGAAGGTACCTAAATATATACACACTGAGTTCGTGATATCATTCTAAAAGCATATTTTTCTAATTACATTTATAATACATGTGTATGTTAGTAGGTCATAGGCACATGTACATGTAGGTGTAGGAATGAAATTTAAATTGAAGGAGGGCAATCCCACAAGTCATGCATGCACATTATAATGGAATGTGAATATCGGAAATAATAAAAAATCATTTTTCATCATTTTTGGAAAAATTGTTCAAACAGCTGGTCAAAACCCTGTACTACAGGGTCTTTGACCAAAAACATCTGTAAAAAACCAATTTTGATCTGAATTAGCAAAAAGTTTCTGCACAAAATTTACGTATACATGTATGTGTATAATTATGCATCAAAAACGTAATAAAAATTAAGAATAATTCCCCCAAATGATTTTTGGTGATATACATGTACATACCCTGTACTAAGTAACATGCTAGCATTATACTACATGTACATGTAAGTAGAAAATGTAATAAAAATTTGGAGTCATTTTGGACCAATTTTTAGAAAAAAAAACACAGGTATATTACAGAGTACTTTTCTAAAATTTAAAGATTTTAAATGATTTGAAAATTATTTGTTAGAAACAGCTGGAACTTTTTACATAGCATAAGGATATTAATACTGTAGAGCAGGAAATTTTGGAGGCATTTATATTTGATGAATTTGCTAAATTTTGGTGATCGGTAAATTTTAAGCGGGCAAAGCTAACATTAATAGCTGCATTAATAGTCTGTGCTATGATAAAATTAATAGTTGACCTTTAAATATTAGCATATGTGCTTCGATAGGAACTAGTAGCTCCAAACTTTTCAAAAATAATAATTTTCAAGTTGCCAATGCTAGTGCTATCAGGATCCTCCAGTAATATATCATCTACCTTTGATCCTGTGACAATAAATAATAGATACTGACTATTATTAATAGACTAACCATGACTGACATGAATGCTGATGGAGTTAGACATGACCTGAAAAAGACAAATCAACAAGTCCAATCACCTTATATTAATAAAGTTCACAAAACACATAATGTCACTCAGTTGATACAATGCATGTTGTCATGTTCATGTATACATAATGTAGAGCAACATGTACAAGTATAGGAACTGGCCATGGATTTGAGATTATTAACAAAGATAATGACCAGTCATTGTTGTTAATTTATAGCCAGCAACAGATTAAAAGAATCAGACAGATCGAAAGTAAAAAAGTAAACAAATTCCAGCTAGGATACAACAGCAGCAAATGCATAAACATACATGTTCATGTTAGAATGTTAATATCAAAGGATGTACTTTTTCATATTTTTGTGAGGAAAAGAAATCAAATGACACAGATATGTAAACGATCACATACATGATAATGGAAATGTACTTCTCACACCCCAAAAAGGAATAATGAAAACTGATACTTTAGTGGGGTGGTATATATTAATTCATTACCAACCCACTAAAGTATCAATTTCAGTATTCCTTTTTGGGGCGGGAGAAGTATTTTTATGTACTTGGTAGAATGATGCTACCTAAAGTAGTTCTTGTCTCTCTCCTTTTTCTTGTTCTAATATATTCTGCTGCTGGTTTGGAGTGTAGGATCTATGTCAGTTCATCTGATGGTATCGACAATACCTCTTGTTGGACTGGAGGAGTTCAAACACCTTGTGCTACTATTGATCTAGCTATACAAGGAACTGCTACTCTACAATACAACTGTTCATCAGGTATCCTTATCAACCTGTCTCCTGGTACATATACACTAGACACTACTAGTCTACAGTTATTGAGGAATAATGTGAGTATTATTGGTATGAGGGATGGTAGTAGATGTGAAGAGGTTAGCATCATGTGTCTACATGTTTCCTCTTCTTCATATAACTGGTTGAAGTATATTGTATTTGAATGTGTTAGTCTTAACAATTGTAACAATGTTCCTGTTACATGTACTGAACCATCCTTTGATCTTACTACACACCATCAACTAGCACAAGAGATTTGCTCAAATCTGACTTTGAATGTTGAATTCATAAATCTTCCTTTACAATGCAGTGATATTGACTATGAAAGTTATTATTATAATGGAGTCTATCGATGCCAATATCCTAATGATTACCAATACTGTCAATGCGAATATCCTCGATTTAAAATCCTCATTACTGATAACTGTAATGTGGAAACGTATGACTGGACAAGTAATCTCAAACTATATCTTAACCACTCTTATTATTACAATGCAAGCATCCAATATAATTCATACCAGTATTATTACTATGAATTAGAAACATGTTTTGATAATAGTATTGTGTCTGGCCCAATTAAAACAACTGTATACATTGAAACACTTGGTATAATTAGCATTAATAAAACAGTAACAGTGAATGTGAGTGCTATGTGTGCTTCTGACTACCATTTAGTTGATGGGAAATGCATTTTCAATGATTGCATCAATCTACCGGTACATATTTGTAACAGCAATACTCTTAAATACAAACTTCCTTATAACTATGATAAATACCGGTATATGTACTACTATATAGATACTTCAATAGTCCATGCGGATAAGTGTTCATATTGCTATAATGAATCATGCTGTTATGACAACAGTACAGACCAATGCTTATCAATTTGTACAAATGACACTGGAGTACCCATTAACAACTTAACCTGCATTAACTGTACAGAACCATCCAAATATGGTATTATGTTGTTTATTGGACTAGAGCTAATACCAATGACGCTCATTATAATAATAATAACAATATTCAATATACAACTAACCAATGGATCAATAAATGCTGTGGTATTCTATTCTCAATTGATAGCAATTATTCAATCTATAAATGGCCTCAACAGTACTAACCCCCTTATTGAAGATACAACTAATTTTTTTTCACAATAATACGACACCTAAGTGCTATACCTTGCTATATCTTCAATTTAGACTTCACTCCATTTCTATTTAATCAAATTCCAATATGTATATCACCTAATACGTCACCATTAGGAGCAATTTCCTGTTGGTATGCAATAGGATTCTATCCATTGCTCCTCCTCCTTTTACTCTATGTTTGGATAACATTGTATGATAAAGGTTTCAAGAGTGTAGTGTTGGTTACTAGACCATTTCATCGTTGCATGGCTCGTTTCTGGAGTATGACTGGCATTGAACCATCTTTTACTCACTCTATAGCATCAATATATATACTCTGCTTCACTCAACTGACTGCCACTTCCTTTAAAATATTGTCTTTTGTCCCTTTCCATGCTATGTTTGCTTTTGATATAAATCAAGATTATTTTCATAAATGGCATGGGTTGGCCTGTTTCATTGCTATTATAGTTTTATTGTTTCTGATAATCCTACCAACACTTTGTATATTGTTTTATCCATTCAAACGGTTTCAAAAGTTATTGGATTGTTTACATCTAAGAAAACGACTACTAATATCACTGGCTGATGTGTTTACTGGTCCTTATAAGAATGGAACTGAGAATACTTTTGATTATCGCTTCATGGCTGGACTAGGCCTACTGGCAAGAATAATAGTTTTAAGTCAGTTTATTATTGGCTACCAGCAGTACTATGTGTTTGCAGTCCCAATAGCTCTGAGTATTAGTTCTTTTTTACTAGCAGCAGTAGTTCTAATATTCCGTACATTCTGCAAGAACATACACAACTTAAATGAATTCCTTACTTTGGCTTTGACTGGCATACCCAGTATTGTAATGTTTGTACACTTAAATGTACTTTTTGGTATCGTGTTGAGCTTCAATATTCTTGTTTTTGGTATAATAATACCAGTTTATATAATGTATCATTTGCGTAAAATTATAAAAGCTTGTCGTTACTATCACAAGAAGAGAGTTCCTGTGATTCTTATAGAGCAAGAACATGAAGAGGATGTTATATCATTAGTGGATGATTGGGTTGCTGATTGTATGGAGAATCCACAAGAATATGATGAACGTCACGTTCCTGTTATACCTGATGATCCAATAGCAGAGAATAAACAACCAGTTATTACTACAGCTCTTGAAGAATTGAAAAGACCACTGCTTGAATCTTAATATTCAAAAATAAAAATTTACTGCAATAATTAATTTGCATGTTTTTCCATTAAACAGCTGCTTTATTGTCTTTATGCTGCATTTTTGTTAGTAAAATATTTTCTCAAAGTTAATATAGTACAACTAAAGTACACAAGCAAATCAAAAAGGGTCTTGCATTGTAAGTATCTGTATATGTATCTAAAAAATTATAAAAATAAACTTTTTTTGGTAATATTTGTCCCTTGGCCCAATTTTGAAACAACTTTAAAAATTCATAAAAATCCAATTATGATCATAATCAGGTCAAATTTTCAGAATTTACATAAGAATTTTAATATAGCCAAACAGTAAAATTTTTATACATAATTCAGATTTTATGGTTCTCATTGCAACAAATACAGCTGCCATATTAAAGGTCATAGCCATTCATGGCATTACTCACATTTGAGTGTTGACAATAATAATAATAATAATAGTAATAATAATAATAATAATAATAATACTCATTAATGCTGTCTGTCAGTATTCTGTGGATTAGTTGTGACAGCTACCATACATCAGGTCAGTTATTATGGAATATGAACACTAGTATCTATGAACACATGATCCAACTAATGTGATACTGTACAAAGGTAAACATGATTAAAACCATAATCATGGGTTGGACTTTGGCTGGTTGAATGAAGAACTTAGTCTACAATGACAACATGTATAAATGAGAAATTACAATAGTTAGACACTAAGGATACTAGTTCTGTAATACATGTATAGCATTTAAGCATTCAATTAACCTTTTAATGCATCACATGCCATTACTAAATTATGATCAAAACTATCCCAGTCAGATACAAAATTGTACTTCAGTCTGTGCTGCTCCTCCTGCACTAATTCCATCAACTAGTGATTCATCCAATAGTATTATTGCTCTAAGTGTGCTAGTGGGTATATTGTGTGGTTTACTAACAATAAACAGTAACTGTTATTGTCTTTACTATAGAAGGAAACTTAAGTATTAAGTAACCATTACGTCATAAATATACCATGTATTATACATGTACATGTATTTATGCTATATAATATCACAGATGTACTATAAACTTACTGTAGACATGATGATCATATTTGCTTCGAACTGTGAGAGGTGTTCTGTCAGTTTAGGAGTCTTCATAAGAATAGACACAAGCTTCTCCTGGGGTGATGTTATCAAGATTAACTGCTAATAGATACTTTGTTTCATTATAATAATCCAATACATGATTGGTACCACCAAAACCGGCAGTATAATAATTAATTAATAGGAATGTTTTGCCATAATTATACCAACACTGCTAATACTTCAGTTTACATAAATGCCTGAAAAGAGATGCAGTATCTTTTTATTGTAAAACTGCACACAATGCAGGAGTATAGCAAAGGTACATGTTTTTCTTTGCATGCATCACACTACAAACACTGCATGTGAGATTAGACAAGCAAAACACCCTGCTGAAATTATAAATTTTATTGGGACAAGCAGAAATACTATTTGTACAGTCAAGTATAGCAGGTAGTCTCTATATTAGTAGCTTTAATAGAGTTACAAATCATTTTGACATAATAGATTAATAAAAAAGCTAAATATAGTATCACATCACATGATCTCTAGTGGATATAATCTATACATAGCTACAACTGACTCTTTACAAAGAGCCATAGCATAAATTACTAGCCCTTAAATTTGTACCTCAAGAGAAATGATGCGAGCTAAAGTAGCTTATGTCTCTCTCCTTTCTCTTGTTCTAGTATATTCTGCTGCTGGTTTGGAGTGTAGGATCTATGTCAGTTCATTTGATGGTATCAACAATACCTCTTGTTGGACTGGAGGACTTCAAACACCTTGTGCTACTATTGATCTAGCTATACAAGGAACTGCTACTCTGCAATACAAATGTTCATCAGGTATCCTTATCAACCTGTCTCCTGGTACATATACACTAGACACTACTAGTCTACTAGAGCAACAGCTACTGAGGAATAATGTGAGTATTATTGGTATGAGGGATGGTAGTAGATATAAAGAGGTTAGTATCACATGTCTACATGTTTCGTCTTCTTCATATAACTGGTTGAGGTATATTGTATTTCATTGTGTTAGTCTTTATAATTGTAACAATGTTCCTGTTACATGTGCCAAACCATCCTTTGATCTTACTACACACCATCAACTAGTACAAGAGATTTGCAACAATCTGACTTTGAATATTGAATTCATAAATCATGCTGTACTATGCTACGACGATGATTATGCCTATTATATGGACCAAGCCTATCAATGCCAATACCCTAATCATTGCAAATGTGACTATCCTCGGTTTAAAGTCTCTGTCACCAACAACTGTAATACGAAACCATATGACTGGAATAACCCTTTACACATATGTGTAAACGACAATAATTGCTACAATGGAAGCATCCAACAACAAATAGACTATGGTTATGATTCGAGTCAAAACATAAATTTTCAGTATTACTATGAATTGCAACATTGTTTTGATAACAGTATTGGGGCTGGTCCAGTTAATACAACAGTATATATTGAAACACTTGGTGTAATTAGCATTAATAAAACAGTAACAGTGAATGTCACTGCTACATGCGACTCTGACTATCAATTAGCTAATGGGGAATGCACCGTGACACTGCACAATTTTAACAACTATAGTCTTCAGTACATCCTCCCCTTTACTTATTATAGTCCTCAGTACATCCTTGAGTTTCCTTATGACAAAGACTGTCGATTTTGCGATGGTAAATGCTGTTATGATGAAAGTACAGATCAATGTTTATCAATTTGTACAAATGACACTGGAGTACCCCTTAATAACTTAACCTGCATTAATTGTACAGAACCATCCAAATATGGTATTATATTGTTTATTGTACTAGAGCTAATACCAATGACACTCACGGTAATGGTAATAATAATATTTAATATACAACTAACTAATGGATCAATAAATGCTGTGATATTCTATTGTCAAGTGATAGCAATCATTGTGTCTATAAATGGTCTCAACAGCCCACATTCATTTGGTAAGATAGACTTTACTTTAACAATAGTTATTAATCATTTAAGTGCTATACCATGCTATATCTTCAACTTAGACTTCACTCCATTTCTATTTAACCAGATTCCATTATGTATATCAGATCATATGTCACCATTAGGAGCAATTTCCTTTTGGTATGTGATAGGATTCTATCCATTGCTCCTCCTCCTCTTACTCTACGCTTGGATAACATTGTATGATAAAGGTTTCAAGTGTGTAGTATTGGTTACTAGACCATTTCATCGTTGCTTGGCTCGTTTCTGGAGTATGACTGGCATTGAGCCATCTTTTACTCATTCTATAGCATCAATATATATACTCTGCTTCACTCAATTGACTGCCACTTCTTTTAAAACATTAAGTTTTGATTTGATGCCTTTTAAATTTGCTTATGATGGAAATCAAGGTTATTTTCAAGAGTGGCATGGCTTTGCTGGTTTCATTGCTATTATAGTTTTACTGTTTCTGATAATCCTACCAACACTTTGTATATTGTTTTATCCATTCAAATGGTTTCAAAAATTATTGGGTTGTTTACATCTAAGGAAACCGCTACTAATAACACTGGCTGATGTGCTTACTGGTCCTTATAAGAATGGAACTGAGAATACTTATGATTATCGTTTTATGGCTGGACTATACCTACTGGCAAGAATAATCATTTTTTTTCAGTTTATTAGTGGCTACCAGCAGTGCTACAAGGCTGCGCTACTGATGGCTTCATTTTCTTGTTTTGCTTTTTTAGCGATAGTAGTTCTAATATTTCGTCCATTTTACAGAAACATACATAACTTTACTGAATTCTTTACTTTGGCTGTGACTGGCACACTCAGTATTCTACTTATTATAACCGAGAGCATTACTGTACTTTTTGGTACTGTACTAGGCTTTAATATTCTAGTTTTTGAAATAATTATACCAATTTATATGATTTATAAATTATGCAAAATCATAAAAGCTTGTCGTTACTATCACAAAAAGAGAGTCCCTGTGATTCCTACAGAAGGAGAGTATGAAGAGGACACTGTGGATGACTGGGCTGCTGATCGTATGGAGAATCCACAAGAATACGAAGAACAACATGTTCCTGTTATACCTGATGATCGGCTAGCAGAATTGAGAAGCCCATTACTTGATATACAAAACTAACTAAAATGATGCATAATTGTTAAGTGTGCATTATTAGTTACATTTATATCTCAGTATACGTACTTTAATAAACTTCAATACTACATGTACATGTAAGCGTGTCCTTTATCATTAGTGCCCTTTGTACAAGAGTGGCTATACTTGCATTTGCTACAATATTTGTCTGCTTTGATTAAAATTAATTGTTAAATTAATCAATATGCATCATTAAAATCTGGCGCTATTGCTTAATGCCTAAAACTTATGCTGTAGTAAAGATTATATCTGAAGCATTAAATACTTCATGTAAAAGTGTAACTAATAGACAAAAAAGGATGAGTGAGTTCATAATAGCCAACAGTATAGTGTGTAAGTGAGAATTAACAAACAAGAGAACATTCTATGAGACAATGATTTACTGAGTTGTGAATTATAACAGAAACTTAAGATGCAAATCCAAGGACTACAATAATCATCAAAATAGTGCAATCACATCATATGATCTCTAGCAATAAAGGGATGGTTAATACATACCCCTTGATTATACACATTGGGTAAGGTCCATGTGAACAACACGTGGTAGTTAGAAATTACATGTACATGATACTCATTATTCATAACCTCTATTTACCATCATAATATCTTCTGCCACACTATACACTGTCATCAGTGAGGTTCAAACACAGATTATTAGTAAGGTCACATCTTCACACTCCCAACCACTAAAACATGGTGTTGTAATGAAAGGTCACACCCATTATATCTCACCTTATCTGCCAACTTTCTTGTCTGTTGGTAGTTAAACTTGCATCTTGGTCCTGGTCCTGGAATGTCTAAAAATAAAATTGCAATATACACACATCTTTTAAAATAACTTTAAACATTATTGAATCCACTACCAATCAAAATTGGACTTCAAACAGTTGCTTGCCAAAGTCCCTGTACTATACATGGTCGTGGGTCAAATTTTGCCAAAATTGAAAAGAAGAGAATTCTCCAATTTTATAATTTTCCCTAATGCATATACATGTTTTTATGTTGTGTAGAAAGTTTGAGCTCATTTTGATCAAAATTGCATTTTTAATGAATTTTAAAGTTGCTAAAAAATTTGACAACTTACCCTTTACTATAGTACAGGATATTTCATCAAAAATTTGATTACTTTGACTTATGAGAAAAATTAGCGAACAAAATAAACACAAAGAAATTTATAAATCACAATGTGCCTTGTTACTATCATGGGTCTTCCCAAGCTGCTAGTTGATCCTTGCTGACTCATAAGTTAATATAACACTAATACTCTCCTGAACCTACAAGTATACAGGTGTGGTCATTAAGCCCTGTCCACAAAAAATATTGCTGCATACCTTTGGAGGAATGATTAGATCAGGACAAGGCCATGGGATTAGGTTTGAGTTAACGAGTAATACTCCCTCTTCATATTCAACCTAAAATAATAAATTAAACTTTAACCAAAAACATGAATTGTAATATTAAAATTTGTAACTAAAAATTTGTTATGTACATGTAAAAATGTAATCACCACGTGTTAGATACAAATGGGTTAATTTCTGTCTTCACATGGACTGGCTGAATAAAACAAAAAATTTCAACTGGCCAAAAATTTTTATGCTTACGGTGTAGTTGTAGATAAAAATTTCATGCCAAATAAAATTTAGAACTGGTAAAAGTATCATTGATCTACAAAAGTTACAATGTACATAGTAACAAGTTTCATATAATTTAGTGCTAATTTTAATAACTGACCTTTAAATATTAGTTTCTGTGCTTTAATAGAAACTCCAAACTTTTCATGAATAATAATTTTCAAGTCACCAATGCTAGTGCTATCAGGATCCTCCAGTAATATATCCTCTACCTTTGATCCTGTGACAATAAATAATAGATACTGACTATTATTAATAGACTAACCATGACTGACATGAATGCTGATGGAGTTAGAAATAACCTGAAAAACATAAAAATGCAATCATCCTCCACTTGAGAGGGTGTGTACCACGCATGGTACCACGTGGGTATGAGCATGCGCAGATTAAGTTGCTGCAGTGGCTGGGTCACGTGCTGGACTTAATGACTGTGTTCTTGGTTCTAGGTTCTTGACTTATCCACATAATAGAAAATGGCTCTAGCTGAGCTGATGATATGGAGAAAAAGATGAAGTTACTTTTCATGGAAATAGAAAATTGTTAGACGCCATGATTTGACTGAAGATGGTATGTTCAAGATTAGTCTCGTGCGTCAAGTTTGGTGATGCTTCATGTAGCGGAAAGAAGCTAATACATGCCGCCCAAAAACCATACCCTCTTGTTGATTACAATGTGCTTAATTTTGAAAATTACTAGGCTTGGTTAGTGAAGCCAAATACGTCTACATGTACACATACTTAATCAGAATCAGTGTATGTAATATATTGACTATCTCTTTTTTATTTGTAACAATTTAGATATTACGTTTTAGATGTGGTTAACATTGTCTCTTCTCTGTTAGTGTATAATGGATTGACTGTGTTATACTATCACTGGAGCAGGCATGGGGTCAAGCACTTGGTGCTTGTACTTCAGCACAAATAAGCAACAGCTTTCTAAGTACTTAATGCTGCTTACAAGTACCTTTTCAATATAATCTATGTGCTTTGTACTTGTACTTAATTACTTTTACAAATTTACAAAGGTGCTTTTAAGCACAGCAAAAATTACACACAAATAGTGTACATCTACATGGTACATCTACATGTACATGTACATCTATATGTAGATGTCATGTACATATACCACTACATGGACATCTACATCTACATCTACATCTACATGGTACATCTACATGCACATGTCAATGTCATGTACATGTACCACTACATGTACATGTACATGTAGTATACAAGTTTAGTAGCACATTGTGTGATGGTGTGTTAGCTTGAAGAATGGTAATGGCATCATCATTAGTGGTATCACTCCAAAGCTCTCTGCTGTTTCCATTTATTATGAACAATTCACAGAGTTAGTGTTTATTAGATGCAATAGTAAATAAACTATAATTGTAATTTTACTTTATTTTTACACTTATTGAATATCTAGTACTTATTAATGTAATTAAGCACTCTGAAAAATGCTTGTTCTTGTACTTAAGCACTTATGTTAAAGCTAGGGATTGTGCTTGTGCTGGTACTTCTAACACATTTAAGTGCTTGTGTTTGTGTTTAAGCACATTTCCTAGTGCTTGACCCCATGTCTGCACTGGAGTATGATGATTCATAATTGAAGTTGTGTGAAGTAAGCAAAGGATTGATTTACATGTACTTTTATCTACTGTGGCTTTATTATTGTCATGTATTTTAATTTATTAGTATTTTTATGGTCTGATTGTGCCATGCCAGAGATGGGTTAATATTTCATAATAATAGTATTAATAAAAATTATTTATGATTGAGCTATAATGCATGTGGCTCTGATAGAATTATCTTTTATTATATTTAATTTTCTCAATTTTAGACATGTTCTGTAATATTAATTTTGAGCTTGTTCTAATCAAATTTTAATTTTTATGATTTTTAAGGTTGCTTTAAAATTGAATGAGTGACCATAAAAGAGTTCTATTGCGTTTTATGACGCACGTACATGTACATTTGTGTTACATGTACGTTAGTTACACGTTTCAGATGATTCCAGTCAAAATTGGATTTTTTGGATTTTCAGAATCTTCAAAATTTGGCTATACTATCCTACTTATAGATAATACAAGAATTATATCACTAATGGGAGGACAGATTTTTTTATTTTACTTACGCTATCTATTGCATAGAAAGTAGTGAGCTAATTCCAATTAATTTTGAGTTTTTAGTGGTTGAGGCAAACTTAAACGGTTTGATTTTGAAAATTCTATGTAGCCTATAAAGAACTAAGAAATTTGAAATACCTACATGTACATTTACTACACTGTATGTCATGTATCTTTGATACTAGAGTATTCTTTGTCATTTAGTCTTTTACATTTAATTCCAGTGAATCAATGTACATAATAGCACAAAGTATGTTCATTAATGTACATGTATGCACTCACACTGTACATCAATATACACTGTACATTAATGTATATACTGTACTGTATGTACTGTATGGTTTCCCATAAAGCATGCTACATGTACATGTAAGTGAGCTAAATAGCATTAAAAATTCATTAAAAATCCAAATTTGATGGGAATTGGCTCAAACTTTCTGTGCAACATAAGTACATGTATATGCATCAGAAAGAATTATAAAAGTGGAGAATTCACTACTTTTCATTTTTGACAGAATTCGGCCAAAATCCCTGTACTATAGTACAGGAACTTTTGCCTGATTCTTTAGCAACTTTAAATATTCGTGAAAAATCCAAATTTGATGGGAATTGGCTCAAACTCTCTGTGCAACATAAGTACATGTATATGCATCAGAAAAAAATTATAAAAATGGAGAATTTACTACTTTTCATTTTTGAAATGAAATAACAATAGCTATAACTATGAAAAAACAAAATGAAGTAAATAATAATGATAAACATTAAACTATAACCCAGCAACATTATCATAACATAATATGAGTGGGTATATATAATCTATGCCGTATGCCATGTTGTAACTAAATCAGTTTGTTAATCACTATGTTTTTAGACTATTTGTCAAATCGAAAATGAAACTTACAATTTATTAGCAGAAGCACTCTACGTTCCCACAGCAGTATGTTAATTGTAATGATGCATGATATAATGATGACTGAAATTTAGAATGACCGTTTGGGTGGAGGAATGCAGCAACAAGATATTTATTCCTCATTGATGAATGAGCAGGTACAAAACACAATATATAGTGTAGTGTATATACAAATGACGCATACAGAATAGTAAAACACACAATATTATATTTTTAGTACTCCTCTGCATATTCAAGACTTGATCATACTGGTGGTAATGGATTCTTTATAGAAGATACTAAATACTGGGTACCTGATAGTTATACTGATGGTATATACCAACAATTATCTGATAGGAAATACAGAGAAATTATAAGACACCAAATAAAGTAAGAGAGAGAGAAAGAGAAAGGGAGAATGCATAAGGACAGTAACAGGAAGACATAATGTCAACAATAGCATGTATGGCTTCATAAATATGTACACATTCTCACTCCAATAGAGTAACAGATTATTTAGGATCAGGACAGTTTGGTACAGTTAATAAAGGAGTATGGACTACACCTACTGCTGGATCAGTGTCTGTTGCTATTAAAACACTTAATGATAACACTTCAGAGGATGAGAGAGTAAAGTTTCTACAAGAGGCAGCCATTATGGGTCAGTTTCATCATCCTAATGTTGTAAA